CATCACGTAGATGAGGTTCAGGGGCGCCATGAGTTCCATGACGGACCAGGCCAGGCGGCCGGGGATGTTGAAAATGGAGGATTTTAGGGAGTTTTTGCCCATTGGGAACCAGGTGGTGAGCCATAGGACGATCGTGAGCTGGGTGGTTGGGGTTAGTTGGGGGTGTTCTTTTGGTGTTGTGGTGGTGGGGACTTACGCTGGCGAAGTATTGCCAGATGAAGAGGATCCGGGTGTATGTTTCTGGGGTCGGGTGGAGGAGATCCTGGAGGGGTGGGAGGGAATTGAGGGTTGAGCTGGTTGATCCCATTGCGTTTATTTCTGCCTGGTTATGGTGAATGTTTTACGATGGGATACGTCGCGGTGAGGGCAGAAATGGGAGAAAGTGGCCGGTGCCGATGTCACGGTATAGATGCCCACAACCTGTCGGCGGTTTGTTGGATTAGCGGGTACTATGGTGGCTGGAACATGGGTCTCTCCCCCCCCGGCACCGTTCATGCAAGTGACGATCCGCGCGTCCTTTACTGGCCACTCCTACTAATTAATCCCTCCAGAAACAACAGTGAAACCCCAATATGACATCAGTTTTAATCTGTTCGTCTATGCTAAGCCTCAACATCTAGCGAAGCTACAAGTCGTGAAGGAGCAAGGAAAAAAGAGCCCACTCCCATCCAAACCATTAACAATAACAACAAAGCCCGTATCGTTCCAATTTTAGGAATATCGTGGATCTGGATCTGTGTCCAACGACCGCCAACTCATAAACAAACGGATATCCCATCAGTCAGCAGACGTGTCCATCGTCTCCGATGCACTTTGCGTCGCTGGTTTTCTGCGCGCTGCCATTCGCTCCGCCTTGAATGCCTCGATCTTGGCCTTGAGTTCCGTGTCTGCACCGCACGAGTTAGTAACAAGGAGCTGCAAAAGCGACCGCGCGGAATGCTTACCAGGCGTGACATCTTCCATCTTGAGGGGAACTCGGTTGAAGGGATCATGGGGGTCACTCAGGAGATGAGACCGGATGGTGGAGCGATCGATGGACACTCTCGACCCAGGAAGAACCACAGGGTCTTCCATCAAGGTATACATAAGAGGATCTGAAAGATTTGTGTCAGCAACTGCCAGGACTCCCAAGAACAACAGCTCCCAGGACATACCTAAAAATTCGTCAGGGACCTCGCCGAGGTCCTCCTCTGCTTGTTCGTCGGCCTCCTTGGCTTCCCGCACCCGGCTCTGGAGCTGCTCCCACCGCTTGAGCTCCTCGGGAGACTTGAGTGACCACTTCCGCAGGATCTCCGCGGCCTTTTCGAAGTTGGCCGGCTTGTAGGACCGTCCATCTCGAGCAACGGCCACGATGAAATTCTCCTTGTTCATCAGGTTCAGATACACATCGACGATCTCGCTCAACAAGGCTCGTGGATTGAACCCGTATTCCTGCAGGTTGTCGACACGGAGACTGGAGCTCTTGGGGCCCACCATCGCATCCAGATTGTAATCAAGCATGTCTGCCAGTCTTTGCACAATCTCCGGCATGGTGAATGAATCGGCCAGGGCATCGGTGAAGAGCTTCAGCATGGACACCGTTTCATTGGTCAATTGCATGTAAGACTTCGCATTGCGCTGAGCAGAGGCAAGTTGTTCCTCTTTCTGTTGTCGCACGGTGGGGTCCATGCCCGCCCCGTTACGCAGTTCCGTTTGAGTTGTATGGATGGTGATGAAGGCACCAAACGACTCATCAAGCACGAAAGTCACATCGTTGAGGAGCAGGTTCACGAAGCGCACGAAAAAATCCAGATTCCGCTTGGCCTGGTTGGAAAGCTTGGCACGGTACAGGGTATTGGGCCAAATGCATTGGATGATCTGGAAGATCTCAAAACGAATGTTGAACTTGTCGAAGAATTGGGTATGGGTGCCCGTGTGCTCAGCTTCAATGTAGAACTTCATAAGAGCATGCAGCAGGTACTCGTTAGCAAAGGGCATGGAGTTTAGGAGATCCACCAGAACGCCCCGCGCACCGCCAGGGCGAGGCCATGTTCCTCGGAAGAGAATAGAGACAAGACCGGCCTTCAGATACGGGTTCTTGATGTAGCTAGTGCTTTCCAAAAAGGCTATGCAGAGCATGACCAATTCGTCACCTTGCGTGGCGGTAATGATCTGAGGCATGCACCACATGATGAACTTGAAATTGCTCACAACGTCGTCCACAAAGTACTCAGGAAGACACTTCCACACTTCCTGCTGCTCCTCGGGCAGAGGCAACTGGATGGGCTCTTTGGGGAAGTTCTTGCCAGACACGAGTCTCAAGAGGAAAACAATCACATAGCGCATGAACAGCATGGAACGGGCCTGCCACTGGTCATCGAACAACACACCTTGAAGACTGTACTTCAAGGCAAGACCCAAATCCAACTTGTCCTTATATTTCTTTAAGGCCTGCTCAAAGACCCTGAGTTGCATTGGGTTGTTGCTCCACTTGTGCCGTTCTTGCTCGAATTTGCTAATTGTATTCTCCAGGTGTCGGAGGTCCTTCTCCAGTTGGTCCAGCTTTGAGGTCAATGATTCGCTACCATAGTGGTGAGCAGCGACTGTGAGGAAGAAGATCTCGGTGATGAAGTTAGAGGTACCATCAACCTTCTTAGCATAGAATGCATCAGACGCATGCTGGTCGGCGTTGATTTTGGTCTCATCTTTCATGTCAACTCGAGGGTTCCGATGCAAATATCCTGCATCAATCCTGTCAATCTAATGGCCGAGTCAGCAGAAGATACATCATGTAATCATTTCAGAATGGTCTACCTTGGTAAAGTTGGCATCCATGAAAGGCTCACAGAGGTGGTCCAGACACGTCGTGAGATTGAACATGAAGCCATCCGAGGACACAGTATTCGGATCAACCTGCATAGCGCGTCGCTTGTGGTTAATGTTCAGAGCTGCAGCGAACCAGTCCAAAACTCTCTCGCGCGCATCTTTCGACGCCCGAATCAGATGGTTGATTATGTCGAAAAGATCCGAGCTCAGCATCTGCTGCATCATCCGCTGAGAGCGCTGTGCGTTCAGGATATAGCCTTGATCCCTCGTCTTGGGGCTTGAGAAATAGGTCATGGTCACTGCACTTTGCAAAGGCGATAGGCGGAACCAGGGCCCGAGTAACGTGTCCTTCTCGAATGTTGCAGCCTCCCGAGATTCATTGAACAAGGACGACTCTGTGATGGCAGCACCTACAACCGCATGGCGGACAAGGTTCCGTAGGGCCTGTAAATGAGGTTGACAAGACGCTCAGGTAGAAGGTGGGATGACAGAACATACTGTTACGTAGGGCTTATAATCATCATTGATAGTCATGGCCGCAAGATCCTTGCTCATTTCTTCTACCGCCGCAATGAATGCTGGCTTGATGTTCTCATCCTCTTCAAACCTTTTGACAGCCTCACTTAAGAACTCAAAATCCACGCCCTTATCATCCTCGGGGTCCAGGAGAAGGTAAGGCTTAAGAGGCGACTGTCCGGACGATTCGATCCTTAGCAAACCATGTTAGTATCTCGCCCTCCACCTAGCTGAAACGCAATACATACCCAAACATCTCTGGCATTGTAATCGCAAACATGCAATAGCTCAAGCAAAGGCGCCGGGCCTCGCATATGACATTGAACTTCGGGTCATCTTCGCGAGCACGACGGAATCCCTTGTGCAGCCTCGATATCCTCCGCCAACACGGCAACAGATAATCCAAGGGCTTCTGTTGGGGGGCATTCGAGGCAGCTTCTAGAAGAGCCTGGTCGAGGACAGCTGTCTCGATACGAAGATCGCGACCTTGCTCCTCGAGTTCACTCTTGAGGCCCGCGAGGTACGTCAATCTTTGTCCGTGGATATCCTGTCGGCGGCCCTCCTTCAACGTCAGCTTGAACACGGCGCTCAGTGTACGGTCCTCGAACGCCTCAATACTCTCTTCCGCCCTCGGCGGGGGTGGGGTGCCAGAAACTGGGGTGACCGATTGTGACCGATCGGGGCCTGTAATGTTCGAGACGGCTGGTGTGATCTTGATCCGCTTCCCTTCAGACTGTAGGTCGGGTCTTGGCGACGCTGCTCGGGAACTCGCTGCACTGCCGGCGTTGGACTGTGTTCGGGAAAGTGCTGGGGTAGAGGGAGATTGAGGCCGGCTTGATGGCTCTGTGCCTTCTGGTCTGAACGATGGGGACGGGTTTCCAAGCTTTGCTAAGCGCTTGTTGCGGATCTACTCAAGTTAGAACCACCCGGCCAAAAACCACGGCAGACAGAAAAATTCTAGAAAATCAAATCGAACCTTATCCGCTTCAGAGAGGCTGTCGGACATCTCTGAGTATTAAAGATACGGTGCCCCGTACCTAATGAAAGGCTTGTCAACCAGCGGGGCAGAAAATGCGGAGCCAAAATCGATGAGCAGAAAAGCAGCGAGAAAAGGATGGGAAAAAGTTGAATCGATGGTCACCTAATCGTGCCGGGTTCTCAGATCGACGGGTCACGCTGCGGGGAACGAACTGAGAACCAGAGGCCAAGTGAGTAAATGAATGAATGAATGTGAGATTAGGGATCTCTGGGGCGCGAGAGACCTTCTGTTGCAGTCGCTCAGATTCGTCTGCATTAACTAAGCTGTGTTCGGGGGTTTTGCCGCCAATCGTTCATCTTCTCCGCTCTGAACTACCCCGATTACTGCCGCCGTATCAGTGATCCATTCGCCATCATAGTAGTTCATCGCTGAATTTTCTCCAGGTACATACAAACAAATGATTGATACTCATATTATTTATATGGTATATCATTATAGACTTCCCAGCAACATCTCTGACCATGTGACGCCATCAAAAGTCTGCACATATATTGACATCTAATTGAAAACGAAAGGCCCCCAGAATACTGCATGGACAACATTAAGTATGAAAAAAAAAATTTGGATGCGGCTAATAAAACAACGTCACGGTATTTGTTGAGGGGGTAAAAGTAAGAGAGAAACCCATCGTCATGTCTGTTTAGTATCTTCCTTTCAACGAGTCTAACTGCCGGCAGCTCTTAAGCTCCATGGATCTTGCCGCCTTCATCTTCTCTACGTCGGGGAAGAACCAGCCCTGGGCGTCCTGAATCATACGGTCCCGGGCGTGGACTTCACTCTCACACGCATACCGGAGCTTGCTGACGTACTCCACCTCAACCCGTTGGTCTAACTGGCGGAACTTCCGCGCGCCGAAGTCTTCTACATCGCCCGGGTTAACAAAATAGTTGACGTGGAGTTTCGGCGTTGTCCGTTGCATCGTGTGAGGGGGTACTGCTGCATCAAATCTGTAGGAGGGGCCTGCGGGCGTGGAGGAGCCGGAGAAAAGAGAAGAAAGCAGAGGGAAGACGAAAAGAAGGATGAGAGGCAAGAATTGCTGAATAACTGCCCGGAATGAAGGCGCTGGCTCGGGCTGACTGTTCGCTTCGCGCGGCCTCCTGCGAGGCCGAGCACCGCCGAATTGATGGACCCTAAATCCGGGCCCACCCCCCATGTTGAATACAAACTGAGGACCACCTACGTAGCATGAGTCAGTACGAAGCCCTGCAATAGAAGGAAACTTAAGCAGCAGCTGTACCAAAAGTATTGAAGCCACCTCCCATACCACCAAAACCGCCACCGAAGAAGCGATTGAATAACTCCTCCGGCGATATCTCCTCCTCGTACATCGTACCACCGGGGTTCGCTGAACGTGGGAAGCCGCCGCCAAATCCACTGAAAGGAGAGGCACCCGAAGGCCCAGAGCTGGGGCCGAACCTGCTGTCCGGATCTCCTCCAAATTTATCATACCTAGCCTTCTTGTCTGAGTCCGATAGGACCTGGAAAGCGCGCGATACCACTATTCCTAACGTCAGCAACGAAGCACAAAGAGATAATATAAGCAGCGGAAAACTCACTCTTAAATGCTTCGTCGGCCCCCTCATACCCGTTCTTATCGGGATGTGTCAACAGACTCAACTTGCGATACGCCTTCTTGATCTCGCCATCCGTGGCTGTCTTTTCCAGAGACAAAATCTCATAGTATGCAGTCGACGAGCATTTCCGTATCCGTAGTACGGCTGCCTTTTGATCCGGGGTATATTTGCGGTCTTGATTTCCTTGACTGTGCTCGCGGGATTTCGCAGAGCCGCCATTGTCTACCCCAGACGCTGTGGCAGACGGCATGGTGGCAAGGCTCTGATACTGTGCCCGAGCAAAAATATAACCGTTGTTTTTATGAGCCTCTAGCTTGTCCCACCTTCCTACTATTCCTCGTTTCCTTTCCTAGAGGACGATGGCGAATCCGAAGGCTGTCGGAGGAGATAGGATCCGCGAGAGTTCCGATAAGGACTAATTTTTCGCAAAAGACGCTGGGAAAATCCAATAGCGACGATTTGAAAATTCCGACGACGGGCTGATTGGACCCCTGCGTTGAGAACTTTGGTTGGTGTAAAATCCGGGGCAAAAGTGGACTGTGATTACTGGTAGATAAACGTGGTGTCTTTTCGAAGGTTCAGATTTATGTTGACTGAACGGCCACTAAGCCGCGGGTGACAAGACCAAAGACGTTAGTCAGGAAAGCGTATCACTCCATTTACCTATGAACCTCCACAAGCTGCTTCAACAATTCGCGACACCTCAAAAGTCGCAACCAATTGAGCAATTAATTGTTCGCTCCCCGTTTTTATAAGCTACTTGTTCTTTGCTACAAATCCTTTCGAGCTCCATTTCCAAAAAAAAAAAACAAAATCTCCGATCGCAACAATGGCCAGTTCGGAATCTGCAGTGGAGAAGACCAAGCAGTCTCTCATGCAAAAAGCTCGAGCATGGGGAGGTGAGCATTCTGTTGACCATTGGTCGCTGTTCGCCCGTTTTGTCTCGCATCTAACGTCATAATTCTACAGAGAATCCTTTCACCCCGACACTCCTCGCAACCTTCATTACCGCACAGTACATGCGACCCTTCCAAGCACTGCCGATGCTCTTCCCACCCGTTCTTCTGTTCACAAGCTATGCCAATCTTCAAGGCTTTCAGACCGATAGCGCAGGAATTAGCGCTGCCTGGTCGGGACTTTACCTTCTGCTCGCTGGTCGGCGACGCCAGCCATTCATGAAGAAATGGGGTGCCCGGGGCATCGTCCGCGGTGTGACCATGGGTCTTTGCTTGGCCAACATGGTTGGCGGCGGACTGGCGTATACTTTAGGAAAAAGGGAAGAAGAGGATGATGATTAAGGGACGGCATTTGCGCCGTGGTCTCTGGGTTGTGCGATAATGCGGGGGTTTTATGCTACTATGACTCTATTAAAACGTAGTGCGGGCGTCGTGGCGGCATGGTGTTTTGGTTGAATCTTATGACGGAAAAGTTTTTTGTCGTCCTGGGCGAATCTATGTACTCCTAAGCGAGGGCGTCATGTATTATATAGATCGTCGACGGGTAGCGCTCATCGGCGCATCCCATTTACTCTACCATGCAGCAAAGATCTCATTGATGCTGTGATATCGTTTTACTCCGAGTATGGTTGTTGGGACAGAATGAACTCCCGGACGTTGTCGGGAACCAGCCCATCCAGATCTTGGGGATTCGATCGGATGGCCTCTCGGGCCAACGTAGAGCTCACCGGTCTCTGGTTTGGACGTCTCCCTTCCACGAGCTGAATCCGTTGAGCCCATTCAGGCTTACCGCCTTCTTTCTCCATGCCACCCTGCGCCATGTTGAGTAGGAATTGCTTCTGCTCTTCTGCATCGCCCCACTTGCTACCCGGTCGCATCGTGACCCTCAGCCGGTGGCGTGTGAGAAAAGGCCCTAATGGCTGGAGGGTATGTTCCGGAGGATAATACTTGGGGTTGAAGATCCGGATCAACGTATCATAGCCGGTGAGATGCACCTGCTCCAGCGACGCCGGATAGACCCCCGCAGTATCGATTTCCGCGGCTTTATCCACGAAATACGGTTTTTTAGTGAGACCGATATCGATCGCTGGAAGACTTCCATTCTCTGAAGTCGAGAAATGTGGCTGTAGGTATGCCAGCAGGTCTCTCGCGAATAGTTCCATCATAACAAGACGATCCTCGAACAAGGCTGGCTTGGAAGGTTTATCCGCATTCTGGGTCGCAAGCAATAGTAGAAGTCGCGGCGCTTTGCTCGCATTTTCTAGAAGGGCGGTGCTAGCTATCCTGCGATGAGCAAGAGTTGGCGGATTGAATGATGAATCCAGCACATAGAGTACATCTGGAATGTGAGTCGGTGGTGGGGGAGATTGATTGGCGGGGATAGAGGCGAGGATTTCAAAGTTCTTGCTCGACACGATAAAGCGTTTCAAGGTCGAACTATATTGCGCTCGGAGTGTCTGAAGGGTTGGGGCCGTCATACTTTTCTATTATGCAGGGCAGTGACACACACACATACACACACTGTTTAAAGTGTAGTAACGAGGGCCGTCTCGCCGGGGGACGTCAGACACGGCAAGAGCTTTATTGAAGTGGAGACCGTTGAGATCCATGGAATGGAAGGTTGAGAGAAGTCCCGAGGCTGGCGCCCGGTGGATTCTTCCCCCGCGGGTGGCTTGCAGAGAATTGCATCATACTACAAAGACAACAACTCTAAACAACATGGGGTTTTATACTCTGCACTAGATGCTCAGCAAAACTCAACTCACCCCGTTTGGTGAATGAAGAATTGCATTGTGTGTCCTTTGTGGTTCAGTCAGTTGGGACGTCACTCAACAAACGGTGGTCAGTGAGTGAGTGATTTTCTGCGTCTCGTAACCGCTCATTGAGCTATATTAGCAGCGGGATGATCTTAATCAAGGACCCTGAGGAGCTGCTTCGGTACGAATGATGGGTCTTTTTTATGGAGTATCTCAAGGAGACTCATCCCAGACCGTGAGAGTATCAGCAATTAAGATGAAACCGATCTACCCGTGTCCGTGGAAAGTTGACCATCAGCAGGTCGGAAACAGTGGCGTTTGGACAGTTATCAGAGAGGATTGAGTCTAGACGCTTCTTCGCATATAGCCTCCTGCAGGCAATTTCCACACAAGGGGTCAGCTCGAAGTACTACGAGGAAATTGCCGTGGACGTGCACAATAACCATACTTATCTTGTCAACTAACTACCGGGTTGATTAGTATTGAGGGTAGTAGCGGGAAGGAACATCACCCACACAAGCCCTCACAGTCATCAGTCTGAAACACTGGCCCCGATCATTTCCCGAGACGAAGCACTCCATCTGGGGAGTTCTTTTCCGTCCCCAAATCAAAAGGAAACTTTATTCCCAAATATTGTCATTTGTCAAACGTCCCAGAATTACTGGCAAAATCCGGCCCTTGTTGTCGTGAGTCCTCCGTACTGGTCCTCGTACGGGATCCGGAGAATCACAGAGGGCTGGATACCGAGTACTACAAGCCGAAGTTGTCTGGACTCTGGATTCTGGAACCCTTGCCGAGATCCACTCGGTGCTGTCGCTCTGATCATCCTCCGGGTTCTGATTGTCCAGATCAGTGATGGGATGATCTACATCCGTCAAAGCTCGTGTCCAGTTAGTCTAGTATTGATTGATATTTACGCTCTCCGACCAGCCATGATGCCATGGTGATGATTTTTTGCATCTTCGCCCATTTCTTTTCCTTTGTGAGACGTGTTACAGGGTCCCCGTTTCAGCCTCGGCTGAGGTTCTCCCCCGACTCTCGGTTAGACGGACTCGTCGTTAGGGACTCAATAGTTAGATGTTTGTGGGATCCGCCAGGAAAAGTTTGTCAAGGAGTATACTCCGGCGGATGCACCAGAAAGGATAAGACTACGATATGAACGGTGACTGACCCCTATTGCCATGATCATTCAGTATTAGACTAGGCAGAACACTCTAGGATGAGGCAATAGGGGGGGCCGTGACAGACTTTTCTTCTTTTCCTTTGCTCGTTTGGGCGTAGTCGGATACTACGTCTTCTGTTATCGCGCTCTGGATAAGCCGCCCACCTGCGCTAAGACGAGCGTCCCAGAGTTGCGGTGGTGGTTACGGTACCGTACCATGCATGTCGGCCAATCAGGTCCAGTTGGTCACCTTTGGTGTCCACCGCGGTACCTGACTAGGTCCTAGTTAGTACATTTAGTAGTCGAGGTGGTGCTTGGAGATATGGACTGAACTTGAACCTCATAACTGCCAGTTTTTGCCGGGGGGGTTCAGGACCACCTGTCTAGAGAAGTTTAATAGACGCCGATGGTCTTTTTATTTATTCATTGATTGATTTATTTATTTATTTATTTATTTATTGTGGTCGGAACAATATGAGACAAGTAATTTCAAGCAAAAGAATCTGGATGGTCAGATCTGACTTGAGTTCCCAACGGTGTGACGGGAACAAATCACCCAATTGGTGTGTGTGTGTGTGTGTGTGTGTATAGAAAAATCCACGAAAAAGGCATGAAAAAGAAAAAAGGTACAACCGTGCGACGGTAAATGGAACAGGCACGCGGCGAGATTAAACCCAAGGTGGTGGCCAATCCGCGGGCAGAACTGGGGAGATGAAACTGGATCCTCATCTCGGGCCAGACCCACTTTAATCATACATCAAATTAATTTTCTGGGATGATTTGATCGGTAACGTTGTAACTGCCCCCCCGTGCGCAATGATGAGACGACGCAGGGAAAAATAAGATCATTTTGTTCATTTTTCATATTTTTTTCGTTTCCCCTGGCGTATCCGGCCTTACATTGGTTCCGTGTATTATTATCAGAGAGTCCAGACGTTCGCCAACATAAGATGATTCCGTCCCCTCCCTCGCCCTCCTTTTAATTCCCTCTTCCTCCGTTCACTTGGTAGACTGCTCGATACGTTCTCTACTTTCGCTCTCTGTGCCAGAGACCATTCTTTTTTTTTCTCACACACTCTCTCAGTTACCCAGTCATTCGTTCACATTGCGAATAGATTTCGCATCCCACTCTCATTACTTGACGAGCGCAGTCTCTCCCTCGGACAGAAAAGGAAAACACAAAATCCCAATATCAAAATCCGTATCCATCTAGATCCAAGACATTGACTGTCCTCGTACCACATCCACACACAATGCATTTCAACAACAAGATCTCCGTCGCTCTGTTGGCCGCTCTGGCTGCTGGTTCGGAGGCCAGCCATGCCCGCAACCACAAGCTCTTCCACCCCAGGAACGTCAACTCGACCGTGTCCACCTCGTCGGTGATTGTCTACCCAACCCCGGTGTTGACCCCCAGCTCCTCCGTGCCCGCTGGCTCCTCTTCTCCCGCTGGTTCTTCCCCGGTTGCCTCGTCTTCGGCTGCGGGATCTTCCTCCGTCGTCACCTCCGCGACCTCGGATGCCACCTCGTCGGTCATTACCCAGGCTCCCCCTCTCAGCACCGGTGTCCCTGGATCCTCCGGCGCTGGTGATGATGACAACAACAACTCGGGATCGGCCACTGATATCACCATCACCTATACCCTCGGCACTGGTACCTCGAAGAGTGTGGTCACCACCACTATCCACAAGACCGCCACTAACACCGAAACGGTCTTCACGGTATGTTCGCCTGGTTAGCCCTGTTAACTTCCCCTTCCCCTTCCCCAGGACTGTGGACTAACTGTCATCACAGAAGACCCCTGCTGTTCCTACTGCCGGTAGCGAGGAGCAGACCACTACTCTTCACTCCACCTCTACTTCTACCATCACCGTTGTCGAGGTTCCTTCTTCCTCTGCTGCCCCTGGCAACGGTGGCAACGACGGCAGCGAGGCTTGCACCGGACAGGCTACCGTCACCGTTACTGCCACCGTCACTGAGACCGTCACTGGGGTATGCGTTCATTCGTTTGCTATCGGTTCCTGTCCGCTGCTAACTAGATTTCTAGGCCCCTAGCGCTACTGCTAAGCCCGGTGACGACTACACCAAGCCCCATGACCAGGACCACCAGAAGAACCCTGGTAACTCTGGAAACCCTGGCAAGAACAACGGCAACAACAACAACAACGAGGGCGAGGATGAGAACGACCAGGGCGAGAACGACAACAACGACGGTGCTGAGCACACCAAGGCTCCTCTCCCCGTCCCTACCCACACTGGACGTCCTCCCTTCGGCAACGGCACCCTGCCGATTCCCACCAGCGGCTTCGCCAAGCCCACTGGCTTCTTGACCAGCAGCAAGCACGCTTTCCCCACCAACTTCCGCCGCTCCCACTAAGCGCCTGGATCGCATGACGAACACCCCTGGTCCTCGGAGCGTTGATATGACCGTCTGTAACTAAGATTTCATTTCGTGGCGAACCGCGCGCTGGCACTGTACCCCATGGGGGAGATGCTGTTTTACTTCTGGTACAAACTTGATTTAGACATTCTTACATACCTTTCTTCACCTATCCGGCAGGGCAACCTGGCCGGTGGTTCTTCGCTTCTTGCAATCGGGATCGCTCCGGTCCTACTTTAACCAACAAAGCTTTCTTCTTTCTGCCTTCTGTCTCTCCCTCTCGTGGTGCACTTTCTTGAAATCTATGTATATCGGAACGGCCCGCTATGGATCACCGGGTTACGGTCACACCACACAAGGGAACAGCAGTGGGAAGGAGCAAGTCTGATGCCGGAGTTGGGTCTGTACAAAAGTTTTCTGTGGCCGACTCCGGGAGTAAGACGTCTGATCCAGTCTGCTACGCCAAAAACATGATGATCTCTATGGATATGGATATGACAGCGAATTTATTTTCGATATGTATCTCCTCTATGACAGCAATCCACAAGCTTGGGTTATGTTTACGTTTGCGCACGAGTCGTGGTAGACCAGGGACACGTATGACAGTGCTGCACCACAGCAATGTGGACAAGGAGGGCCCCGTAGTTCATTAGCATATTATATTACACGTAATACCTCCCCACAGTATACCCAGTCTATATACATATACATACATGAGAGAAATCCCCCCCAAAAAAAGGAAAAAGGTCCACCACCACCACTCAATCTATCTCTAGAGCCCCAACACCCTCGCGCAAGATACGATCGCGCATAATATGCCAATCCAACCACGTCAGGCCCTGCAACAGACAATCGGCCAAATCATCCAGTTTCCCAATATCAACCACACCCGTCTCACCGCGTCTCCTCTTCTGACCTTTCCACTTGGCCAGATACGCCTCAACCCACCGCCGTAGCTCCTCCTCCCCCGAAACGGCCACCTTCAAGTCCCGGTCCCCATCCCCCAACGCATCATCCAACCACCCCCCAACCAAATCCATCTTCACCTTCTTCCCTTCCCGCGCACTACTCCTCCCCCCTTTCTTCTTCTCCTTCTCCACTCCATCCACGCCAAGACCATCCCCCCAATACCGGACCACGCGTTGCGGCTCCACGCCGAGGACCACCGGCGCCAAATCACCGGCGGAAGAAGAAGAAGAAGAAGAAGAAGAAGAAGAAGCAGAAGCCCGCCCCCTCTCCCGCTGCAACGCATACAAAACAGCATACAACATGCCCTCGAAGACGCCGACCCGCAGCGTCCACTCCTGCACGGCGCTGCCACCGCCCGAGCGGAACCGCTGTCTCTCGATGAGGACATGCGTGGGCTGGTATTTTTCCAGGAGCGTCGTGATTAGTACATAAGCCTGTTTGGCATAGGGCGAGGGATGAAACATCTCTTTGCCATCCTTGTCGTCCTGTTGACAAGCCAGTTCGTGGAGTTCATCGATATCAGATGGCTCCGTAGTGCCGGGTACTAGTAGTGTTGACCCCGACTCAGGTCCAGGTCCAGGTTCTGGGAGTCGTAGTAGATCCGAGACGGCCAATCGGCGCCAGGCGTTTAGGGTTGGTGGTGGTGGTACCTTACTACCACTACCACTACTAGTAGTAGTACTAGTAGTAGTGCCTGTTTTCCCTGTGGCACTGGCACTGGCACTGGGGACCAGGAGATGCGCAAAGGCGAGGTTGCGGATGCCCATGTCGATGCTGAGAATACTCAGGTTTCGGGGCTTTTTTTGCGTCTTGCTCTGGGGGGTTACAGAGTGGTACTCGCATTGGGCGAGCTCCGTCTCCAGTCGGCTTATTAGGGCTGCCTTGGGACCGGCGGAGCGGATGCCCGTTGCTTGGGCGATCTTTTGGAGCTGGGATGCTTTGAGGGTTGGGAGCCATGTGGCGGGGTTGAGGAGGGGTGGGGAGTAGCGCATGATGAGGTTTTGGAGAGGGTTGGTCGCATTTCACTGATATGTTGATGTGAACTTGGGTATTGATCTAGTGTTATCTGATCTACAAAAGCATCTCGGGCTTACATAATACAGTAGATCCTAGATTTTAACTACGTTAACTATAAAACTAAATTACCCCGTTGTAGGTAAGAACAACCATCAAATTAAATTCACAACCGGGAACATTCATATTCCCAATGCGCTAGAAATCCCAAGGGGAGTTGGGAATACTCTCTCCTCATGAGTCGCTCACTCAAACACTGGATTCGCCATCGCTCCGCACATAATTACCTTGGAGTATCAGTGTAATAATATGTGCCTTTTCTGGGAAGGCAGTATTCCCCATCTCCATGATCGGAGATTGGTACTAGATTTTTTGAGACTGCTGGGGTTTGGGGTGTCGTTCATTTCAGAGTTTATTATCTCCACTTCCTCTAATGAACTACAGCCAGCAAGCATATGCTGTTTTCTTGTTTTGACTAGGTTGAGCATCTCTTGCTCCTTTCGTTCATTTAAAGTGCCCAAGAGCTTCTTCGATTAGATCGTCCAGCTCATTCATCTCAAGCGTATCATCCACTGGAGTTGAAGTATCGTCGAGAATCTCTTCAGCAAACCCATTTCCCTTGTTAAGTCCTCTCCAGAGGTCCTTCATGCTCTAGAGAGCATCTTTCTGAAGAACTCCTTTAGCATGTTTACTCCGTTGGCCTGGTATGCGTGTCAGCAAAGCTCTCTTAAATCTCCGGGGGGTTGCCCTTCAACGATAGGATCAAGGCTGGTATGCCAATGCATTCCCAACCCGATGTGTGCAGCCTCTCGGTCCGTACAGAGTAAAACACAATCGGGGGAATTGATGGACAGCACGATCCAAACCCGTACGATCATTGAACATCCATTGTACTATGTATTATTTATCGTACGCGTCGCTTGTATTACCTACTACCCTCTACCACTACGAAATCCCAGTAGAGAGACGGAAAGTATTCAAGAAGAAAAAAAAGAAAAAGACTGAAGAAAGGATGAGGGCCCGAACCGCGATTCGAACGCGGGACCTCTCGCATATTAAACTGTTGCCAGTCTAGAGCTATTAAGCAGCCCGAAGCGAGAATCATACCACTAGACCATCCGGGCAGATGATGTAATGTTTGGGGTTTTGTTGGAAGTTGTTTTACAGAGCGTTGCTGAACGGTCGATTGTCTCCTCCCATCATCATCCAAGATCTGATAATATTGATTAATATATGGATGATTAGAAGATTCTTTGAAACTTCGTAACCAAGCAGATAATCAGAGGCTCGAATACGTAGTAGGTGCAATCTATACCTGGTATATGGAGTATACATGCATCTATAATATATATATCTACTTAGTTATAGCTACCATTATTCTCTCTTTCTTTCATTGCCAAGCTAAAAACTGAAAAAAAAGATTGAGAAGAGATAAGGGCCCGAACCGCGATTCGAACGCGGGACCTCTCGCATATTAGAACTGTTTGACCAGTCTAGAGCTATTAAGCAGCCCGAAGCGAGAATCATACCACTAGACCATCCGGGCAGTTCATGGGATCCTTTATCCCGAAATGTATATAGAACCATACACCCGCACGGCGCAGTAGAAACAGGGCAATGTAGGTTACGTTACTGGTAGATATAACCCACATAGGTAGCTCAGCAGTTGATATAGAGTAGAAATGTGTTTATTATGTTATCTATTGCTTTATCTTATCTTGTCTCATTTTACGCAGGAATACAGTCCCACTGACGGCAGTGAAGACCTATTCCCTGGAGAGTAACGAGATCGGGACCTACTAGTTAGTATTTTAGTTGCACACTACAATTCGACCTAAGTGACTAGTCCTTCTCTGGCTGCATATCAATTAATTAAACCTGCACCACTAGTCAATTTTAAGCTATTAGGATTATATATATATATATATAGATATATATTGTACACACTTTATCCCCCGGATCAATGCGCACGTAGTCGGAAAACAAGTTCCCTCCCTTCTATTCAAACATGTCCCAATGTGCGAGATGCCAAAAAGACGAACACCACCAAATGCCAATCGGCATTTTAATGTATGGATATTTTCCCCCGGTTGACGCCAGAACCAATAACGACCAATGCAAAAACGCTGAATTGCACGTCAAGAAAAGCGAAAAGAAAATCGAAAAGCATGGAAACCAGTGTAGAGAAGTCCTCCCCACGCTATGCCGACATCATGCCACGTCATGGTTGCTCATCACCACGTCGGCCGGCGACACACATTCGCGCACGTAGAGAATAGGCGCCCAGACTCGCCAGTGGAGGACACCCATATGCGCGAGTCGCATGGCAATCCGTTCAATGCCGTAGTGTTGCTGTGAGACTGGCGAGTGAGGGTGGCTCCGTTGAGATTCGCAGATAGCCAGAGGTGACATGTTGAGGTACTGTTGTGCAAAGCCCATGGTGGCTGCCATCAAATTTTCTCGCCATAAACTCTGGAAGTGTTGGAAGAGTTCCGATTCACCCAACAGATGGGTTTCCAGCTGATTTTCAATACGCGCCATGACGCTATCTGGGACCATAGTAATGTCGCAGCCATATGCCTTGCATGCAAAATGCGCAATTTCCAATGCAATACACCGTATGTTTTGTATCCACTGAGGCGACCGGCGTCTGCAGTCCTCACTTTCATCTATCAAGGACTCGATGCGAGACCGGAAGGTAGCGTATGCCTGTGCCTGAGCTGGATGATATCGTTTGAGCGGATTAACGCAGCGCTGAAAGACTTCCCAACAGATGTCAAGGGTGATTAGGCTCTGAAGACATGCCCGCAACTGCCACAGGCGATCAGAGTCGAAGATAAAAGTTTCCGGGAAACTTTCCGGAGTGTGGAACTGTAGCAGGAGATCGGATAGCCCACCAAACAAAATCGCAAGGGGGCGGAAGCTGTTTGGCTTTTCCATCCTGGTCAAATCTCGTTCATGTAGTTCTTGGTACCATAGTCGTGACGACTCCACGCGGAAGTTATCCCGTTCAATTTTGCTGCGAAAATACTCTTGCAGAAACGGTATAGTGTCTTCTATAAGTAGCACACGAAAGGCGCGGATTTGATGGTTTGCAACGTCCTATCTCAAAGTATTAGTGATTTTTGCCCTCCAGCCCTACTTGCAGCCGCCGAGAGTCGGATGGCCTACCAATTTCATAGCCTCCAGGATCGCAAACAGAGTCTGGAGACCACGGACAATCTCCAACGAGTTCTGTGACCGTGAACCTGAGCTGATCTGTTCAACCATACGGTCCGCCCATTCATCGCGCATTGGAGCGCAATGTGTCTTGAGCAATGCTGCAAGCCAATTCGCCACGTCGACCATATTCAGGACGCCCTTCCGAATTTGCTGCATCAGCAAAGGTACCTCGAGATTTTGCATCACACTCGGGTGATCTCGTTCCGGGACGAGGGTTTTCAGAACATCCTGCAAGGTGTCAAACAAAGACGGTAGTCGAGGCTCAAAGCTTTGCGGCTGGTCTGCCCACATATCGTCACACGGGATGAGCGGCTGCTGCGCGGCGCAGAATGCGTAGATAGTTATCTCGGTAGCCATGGCTTCCCAGTAGTCAGCAGCTTCCTTCCTTTTTCGTCGACCCTTCTCGCCGTCTAGATCCGGCTTGAAATGGAGATCGCGGTCGAAGTTCGCATCCATACGAAGGTTGATATTGCTCATGATACAGGGTAGATCGAGCTCGCTCAGCGTGCTTTTGGTGACTGGGGGGTATCTCTTGGCCGTGAGCAGCAGATTATATTCCTCCGCACCGAGGCCCAGCTCCTGAGGAATGCGCATTGCCTGTGAGGAAGGTGAGGGGGTGTTACTGCACGCGGGCTGCTGAAACGGCGACGAGGCCTGGTGAATATCATGGTCGCAGGCAAATGGAATGCCCTGATGTTGCTGGTTTGCCTGCGCCGGATCTTTGCTCTTGTTCGTATCCCGATGATCTAGCGAGTCGTTCTTGGGGGAATCTTTAGAGTGGCCGTTGCTCCGTATGGTTCCAAAGGACCCTCCGCGTTGTCCTCCTTCCCGGGAGCGGCGTCCCGCCGTGCCTCTTTGGTTCTTTGAAGGTCCATTTCCCATCCAGTCCCGTTGACAGCCGGGGAGGAAGTTGCTAGTCTGGGTGGTTGAGGAAGCTCGTGCAATCCGGGGAGGAACAAGTAGTAAATCAGTGATGAATAAAAGAAGTGTGGAGCGTTAGATCGTGGGGGTCACGGGCATTTCTCTTTGGATGGACGCAAGGCACCGCAACCCTCCACACTGTCGGCGGGGCAATTGGATGAAAGAGATCCCTTTCCCCAGCCCTTCAGTTAGTCCTTGCCTGAGGCCGAAGGGGGAGGGATTACGGTGAGGGAGGAAATAGTGCTCACCTGATGCGGGTAACCCGATGTCGATCAACCCCCGTTGATACCAAACAAACCCCCCCCAAAACAAAACGATCTTCAATCCTATCCGGATGATCTGTCTTTGGTATCGTCCGAAGTTGCAATAGCTGCGGCTTCCGTCCTTGTTCTCTTTCTTCCCCTTTGTTCTTCCTTGCTCTTTTAGGACCCTTTTTTTTTGGGTTTCTCCCGCACTGAAAGAAGTATAAAGGGCACGAGGGCGACAAGGGCCAAGTCAGTCAACCGGTCCACCAAGGGAGACGATCAAGAAAAAGAAAAGTTGAAGAACAGCCAATGGCTTTCTATGAGACCACTACCAAAAACTAGAAAGGTCGAACGAATAAACAAACGGCAATGGGTTACAGGAATGCCGAAAGGGAGTACAGGTCAAGCCACTTCCTTAGCAGAGTGGACGGGGATGGACGAGTGTTGATATAAGCCAATGGTATGAGATGGAACTTGGACACCGTAAGATCTGAATACAGTCATGCGACGGGAACAGAGAGAGAGAGAGGGAGCAGAGAGAAAACGAAAGGGAAAAAAAAGGAAAGAGTCGAGGCTGATGAAATTCTCCA